GGGGCGAGCGGGCGGCCACGGGTGGCGGCGCGGCGGCGGGGGCCGTAGGGGAGCTGGCCCCGAGTCGCAGACCTCACCTGGGCACGGCAGCCACCCCCGCCTCCCCCCGGGCTCCTGGAGACCCGGATCCACGGAGTGAGAAAACGAACTTCCCACGTTGGCTATGTTGCCTTTTGGAGACAAAACCAGGTATTCCCTTCAGCATCCCTCCTTCCCACTTTCCCTGGGGGCAGGGATCACTCGGTCACACTGGCTGGGCGATGCCTCGCTGAAAATGGACTGTGTGACCTTTTCGTTTTTCTTTGTTCTCTCGCAGATGTAATTACTTTGGGGTCTTAGATGGTACCCTTTTAAAAATCCTGTTTTTCCTCAGGAACGTTCAGAGTTGACGTTAGTTTAATCACTTTCGGAGTTCTTAAACAGAGGCAACGGCTCCGGAACAAATCTGATCTCTTCTGTTGAATTACCCAGCCCTCCTCTTGAAGTCTTCTTCCCCGCTTTCGTCTTCTTCCTTCAAATCTTAAATCTGGAGCGGCCAGAGGATAACCCTGAAAGGAAAGTGGTTTCTTTTTAAACGGCACTTTTCTGCGAATTTGGGGCGAGGTACTAAGGCCGAGTAGGTCTAGAAGTATCGATTGCTGTGGGCCTGACCGTTTTGAGGGGTCACCTGCTCCTCTGAGGCCATCTGTCCTCGGTTTCCTTTCACTCTTGCACACTCCCTTCTGCTCTCATTGAATTATAGCGCATAGAATGGGCTGAAAGTAGGAGAACTAGGATGATTTTAAAGTGTGTCTTGAGGTGTTCTTTAGGCAGATTATTAACAGTTTAAACAAAAGTTATTTGTCTAATAAATCAGCATAAGTTTCCTTCTAAACTTGCGATGGTCTGGTGGTAAGCTCTGACTGGTTATAGATAAGAACACTTCACTTTCAGAGCCTGCCAAAATTTTGAAACTGTAGCAACATTTTCTTGGAAAATAAGTTGGAATAGCTAAGTTGCATTTCTTTTCTTATTACTTTTTCTCCCAAGTAGCATAGGATTAAAATCCTAATTCTCAAAATCACAATGCTCACTGTGAAATTTAGGTCATCTGAGATTCTAAAAGTCTTTTTCCCCAGTTAGGGTTTTTAAATTATAGTTGATGTTGGCAATAGGCTGAACACTTTCTATGATAAACACGTGTGTATATCTATTCTTAGGAGTTTGTGTTGAGTATCAGTGGAAAAACGAAAGTGTAAAATATGTCAGAGTAGTGCAGGCCCTCAATTTTAGGAGTTATAAAGTGCTGAGAGTATAAAGAATATAATGTGAGAATGTGTGTGTAGCCAGAGGTCCTTCATTAAACAGTATTCCAGTTTGACTTTACATTGGGTGGCACTACTAACTGGAGACTTTTAAAATAAGAATAAGAGGTTGAACGTTAGTTGATTATAAAAATACCAAACTAGTAAGCCCAGTGTGGTTCACATTATTGTGGTAAAAAACTTACTGCGTGCATTTTTAACTTTGCAGCTAAGTCTTTTTGTTGTTTTTGTTTTGTTTTGTTTTTTAAACTAGAAGCTCACATCATTTTGCTTTTTCCCTTTCGTTGGACTTTGTAAGTGTAAAATGAATTCTGTGTGTGATTCAGGAAACCCATGAAAAAGAATAATTCTGTAGAGGCATGAGGCATGTTTTAAGATTTAAAATAAATTTAGATTCACTCAGATTGTCCATGTGCACCAGAAATCAGGCTTACTGATGGAACTATTTCTACGTTATTTAATTGTCATTTGACACCCATGCGTGCTTCTCTATCCTGTCCACAGGCTGAATGATCTGCACTCACTGGTAGTAAATTGAAGAGAATAAAGTTTCTGGCATAACTAAATTCTCAAATACTTGTGAAGTTTGGTTGACTTTGAAAGCAGTTATGCTGCTGTGTTATGTTGTTTCCTATAACTGTCTTCACGTTCAGGTCTAAGCACCTCATTAAAAGCTATAGTTTGGACCACTGGAATAGATGCTTTTTAGTAATCGCAACCTGTTGATGTGAATTTGAGGGTTTGAGTCTAACAATTCATAACATAACCTATTGGCATAAAAATTAATTTGAGACTAGTAAGCTACATCTGGAAAACTCACACCCTCACTATTCTAGACAACTCGCAGTCCTATAGGCCTGAGATAGTGTGTTAATTGAGGACTCCAGTGCGCATGCATTTACACATGAAACCTTCCTGGTGCTAATGCCTCTTTACAGCTGTTGTTACTCTTGACAGCGTGTGAGAATAATGTTACCTTTCATTAGTTACTAATCACTTCTGTGATTGTGGGTGATGTTTTAGGTCATTGAGTATTATAGGGATGATATGATTGACTTTTTATTGCTTTGTTTTGTACTAGGCAAAAGCTTGAGAGTATTTGGCCTATACTGGAAATAGGAGATATTAAGTGAGGACAAGTTTTATGACAGCTTGGATCAAAGTCCAGAAACAGAAGCTTTATACTCCCATGTAGCTTTCTCTGATAGGCTTTTTATTTGACACTGCAAAGCTGTGCTGAATTAGTTGAGATTCCAGGTCCTACATTTGGGATTCTTTCTTTGTAATTCTTTTCTCATTTCTAAAAGCTGTAGTATTTTCATTTGCAAGGTATCTACATGAAAGTCAGATGATGGATATAAAATAAATATTGCTAAGTATTCTGAAAAAAATATTGTTTCTATAATTGTATAGGAATGTAAACTTTTTCCCAATTTTCAGGCAAATGATTTGTTAAGCATGTTTTGTTGGGCATTTGCTACTGTTGAAGATAATAAAATCCTCTAGGCATTAACCCAGTCTGCCTTTGATATTACTCATAATATTTTATGATATTAATTCTGGTGCAATAATAGCGTTTTTTCCTTGTACTGTTTAGATTGTGTCCATATAGCCAGCTCCAAACTACCTTTTAGTGCCCTGGAAGAACTCTTGTGGATTCAGTTATTTCCGCCTGGAGAAATCTATAAGAAGCCCCTGAAATGACGTTTCTCATTGCCTTTTTATGTCTAGTGTTATCAAAGTTTCAACTTCAGACCCACTTTAGGGCCTGAACTACATGATCATGATTCCTAAAATGATGGTAGAATTAATGTAATGGCAATGATTCTTAGATGAGTGTCTTGAAATGTCAGTTTGCTTAGTATAGCACAAAGTTAAATAGGCTTGTTGTAAAA